GCCGCGGTGTGTGTTTCTCTCATTTGTACAGTCGTATTTTCGACAACGTATCGCGGTGTAACCGGGTCGAGTGTATGGTCGAAGAATATCCGGAAACGTGGCCGGATCTACGGATCTCATCCGATCCAATTGTGTCCAAAGATACGAGTTTTCGGATCATCGGTAAATAATCCTTATTTGTATTAGTTGGTCGAGTTGTATTTAACACGGACGACACTCTTGACGCGCGCATCCTGAAGAAATTCCGTTGTCCCTCCGCGTCTGCGCTGACCAGCGCGACGGCAGCGGGAGAGTTCCATGTGTTTTATCTTTCTTTTCTTTTTCCCTTCTTCCTCCGCATCGCGATATTATATCTCGTTAATATAAAGGTATACCCCCCCCCCTCTCCCCCGCATTCGTTTGTATCATCTGTATCGCTGCTAACGCGTAGATTCCTACAATTAGTATTTCCTAAGAGTATTTCGTAATACTTTGAGATACCAAATAAACTTTATATAGGTATATTTTATATAAGTATAAATATGAATTATAAGTATGAAACGCATTTTTTTTTGTACGTGCACGTACCTCGATGTGTCGAGATCGCCGCAGAATTTGGACCGCTTGGCTTGGGAGTGACGAGAGACGTCGAAGCTTTAATGCGAGCGCGGGCTGAGAGTGCCGCAGGCGCGCTTCGTCTGTGCGCACACACGACTCGACGCGCACATACAACACACACACACACATACACACACACATACACGTATACAGACACATTTTTCGATTTAGTTTATCATAAATTGTTCCCGAAAAAACAAACGAGTATTGAGGATCCGCGCCAGGATCCGAGCTAGATCGCGTGTATATCTGAAGAAACCGAATAAAAATAAACGCATGTTCAACTAAACACTCGCGGCCGTCGATCGTAAGTGCCAATCCAAGTAGCTGAATTGAAGAGATTTTTGCGCTAACGTCTATCAAAGAGAGAGAAAGAGAGAGAGAGAGAGAGAGAGAGAGAAAGTTCGCCTGCGTTCTTTTCATTTTCTTACTCGCGGGGTCATGACGAGTCTCCCCCGCGGTGAGATCGAGTTCCGGGCGTAGCGAAGAGACACCGCCACTCGCTCGCTCGCTCGTTGCCAGAGAATCATTGTACTTAGTTCTCATCGCGCGCGCGGATAAACGGAAAAAAAAAAGAAAAAAACCCAGAACGAATCAAAGGGGAAAGAAGAAGAAACGAATCATTGTGAGAAATGCACAAGGCTCGCAGACCGACCGCGCGTTCCTTCGAAGAAGCGAGGCACGCCTAAGAGACACGACACTCCAAATGCTTGTAACTGTAAATCGTCATCACGTAGAGCGTCTTGAACTAAGTACTGTTGACAGAAATAAACAAGAAGTCTAATTTACCAAGTGTCTTACTAAAGTATTTTTACTCCGATTAATACCGACGGATTCGTGAGTAAAGAGAGAGAGAGAGAGAGAGGGAGAGAAGGATCTGCGAGTATCCACATCTGATTGTATCATCATTGTAAGAAAGAGAGAGAGAGAGAGAGAGAGAGAAAGGGAGAGAGGTTTTGTGAAAATTCATCGTCGCGTATGTACACGCGAGTCTCGCTAAAAAGAAAAGAGAAGAGGGAAGGTAAAGAAACTCTCGACAGAGAAGGCGAGAAACTGCGAGCCGATTTATTTCTGCGACTTTTCGGGCAATTTTGCGACGGAGTCGTTCCATTTGAGAGAAAAAGAGCAAGAGAGAGAGAGAGAGAGAGAGAGAGAGAGAGAGAGAGAGAGAGAGAGAGAGAGAGAGAGAGAGAGAGAGAGAGAGAGAGAGAGAGAGAGAGAGAGTTCGCACTTAGGTTACAAAAATACAGCATCCCGTATAAGTGTTTCGCCTTGGCATCATGTGAACAACGCGTCCCCGATCGCACTTCGCGACGATTTCCCGCGCTGACGTTGCGCTGGCGTCGATCGAGTTCCGCGAGAATTCGGAATTCGACGTCGCGGAATGAAAACGCGCCGATTGTTTTGTTCGGTTCGTAATGAGGGTCCCTCCGCGACTTCGCTAATCCGACGTTTCGTAGCTTTGAAAATTGGTACCGATCGGAAAAAGCGCTCGTCTCCGGAGAAACGCAAACGGCAGCGCCGCACGCGAACATATAAATACAATAAAAAGAAAGAAAGAGAGGTGTTATTTCTACACGAGAAAGCTAAGATGGAGGTATATATATATATATAGATAATTAGAATATGAAAAAAAATATATACGTATATGATTGAGGAAATGAAGGATTATAAATACACACAGATGCCGCGCTACACGAATCACACGCACACACGCGCGCACACACACACACACCACACACACACACACACACACACACGTACACGTACACGTACGGTACAAAGCAATACGTGATACTTTTGCGGAGGGCAGGGAACAAGAAGATAATACAAGTGCCGGAGGCATTCCCAGGGGACTCATTGCGATGTTTTCTCCCGTCTGCGGTCCTCTTCTTCTTTCGAG